TTTTTTTAAAGCGCAATCTGTGACAAGTAGTTTTAGCATTTTATTGTCATCATATATACCTTAGATTCATATATAAAGTAAAAATAGTTGTTTTACACCTAATTCAATGAGACCAATCCCTTCCCTATAAATTTCTTGCTAATAGTACTTGTTGAGCTGGTGAAATTAAAGATGTTATTCAGCCTTCAACCCATGGTAGAGTACATTAGTAGACAATGACATGTGAATTTTAGATTAAATTTAACATTTTTATCGAATATTTGGAATAGGGTCAGTCAGCTAGATAACCAGTAATGAAGATTTGCTTTTTATGTTAGGTCAAAATGTAAAATTCCAGGACATTAGACATAAAATAAGGACTTGGACCTATTTCCAAGGACTTTCAATGATATTGGAAGGACTTTCTTAAGGGCTGTGGGGACCCAGCAAGGTCGTAACTATATTTACACATGGATATCCCTGTGAAAGTGCATTGCATGATAATCATGATAACTTCCGTCGAACACAGAATCAAGACAAGACAGAAAGAATTTTAACTTGTTTTAAAAAGGTTTTTTCCCGAGGAGAAAGCTCACTGAGAGGCCAGTCGTGCTTATGATCAGGTACTTTTATGCCAAGGGAATCCACCCGAAACCACGCCCAAGCTAACCAGTAAACCCGGTGCGGTTAGGTGCACACATGTTTGGCACAACTTCAAATGCGTCATCAAGAGTCCATAATAAAGATTAATATCATATTATTAGAGATATATTATTATCATCTCTATGATTGACACTTGATGTTATCTGCCAGCGCTTGGCAGAGAATTATCACTACACGTTAGGAATGATTAACTCGGGAAGCTGGATGTCTGATGTAGAGGCAAGAGGGCAAGAAGAGGTGGCTGGAATAGGCACGTTAACATGTTAGATAAAGAGATAGGCTACATTATTGTATCAAGGCATATGGTTCCCACCAAAAGTGTGAATTATTTTTTCAAATACTTTTCAAGGACATGTTTTTTCAAGGACAATCTGTGACAAGTAGTCTAGTTTAGCTTTTTAGAGTCATTATATATGCATTAGATTCATATATAAAGTAAAAATAGTTGTTTTACGCGAGTGCCGACGGCCGATTAAACAGCTGCTATAGCTCGCCGATTACCGACGTACACAATAGTCGTTTCATATTATCATTCACGTTGATTCATGTGACGGTCCTGTAACAATATGTAACGCTTTGATGTAACATGTTTCACTCAAAACTATGTATCACACAATATGTACTGTATCACTCAGGTATTTTATTATTTTAACTGTTCAACACTATTGCATTTATCAAATTTTTTCTCCGTCTTCAGTCTCCGTCTTCAGTACATGTATAGTTGTAGTTGAATTACATGCAATAAAGATTTAATAATAATTACCGGTAAGTTGCCGGTTCTTCATGATGACCTTTCATCTGCTGTGTCAGGGAGTAACATTAACAGCGAATCACTTATTCTTTACTCCCCTCTCGCGGATGGTATCGCCCACGACCAGTCAAGCATGGAAAATCTTTTGCAGGTAAATGGCCGTATTTCAGCCGAAACTTTTTCATGCCCCGAGGCACAAAATTTTAATTTACGCCTATAATACACGCGCACGCGTGCGTGCGACCATACCCGCGTGCGCGCGTCCGTTAGTGTGTGTGTATATTGTGCTTATGTGACTGTATAAACGCATATTATAGCCGTATAATCATATTTTGTGCTTTGGGGGGTGAAAAAGTTGAGGTTGAAATACGGCCATTTACCTGCAAAAGTTTTTCCACGCTTGACTGGTCGTGGGCGATACCATCCGTGAGAGGGGGATCACATATTCCCGAGAGAATATAACCTGATAGGATATAGATTAAAGTACCATACACATGATCAGATATAGATAGAATACTAGATATTGAATGAAAAGATATTATTAATATTTTCTTGGTTTTTAGTGATGGTTGATTCTATATGGTACACTAGGTATAGCTATAGCTAGGTAAGAGAGTGATGAGAAAGTTGAGAGAGAAGAAGAGAGTTCTGGTGAGAGAGTGAGCAGACACACACACCCACTCAGCGCGAGTACATGACGGCTTTAATACATACCGTCTATCGAGAGAGAGAGAAAAGAAAGCGACGAGAGATAGCAAGATATACGAGAGAGAGAATGTTGTGAGGGACAAGAATATAAACAGAGAGAAGCGAAAGAGGGAGGCGGGCCGATTTGGTCGTAGGTGATTAACCGATCTCCCGCTGCTAATCGTTTGTTTCGCAGGTGGCTGGGAGGTTTGTGCGCTTCGCAGCGAGCGCCTACAACTACGCGTACAGTGGCCGTCTTCAACGCCGCTGAGAAAGCGTCGTTCTACAGACCTGACTGATGGAGACGCAGCAAGTCACCACCGCGTATCGGCAGAGAAGTCTTCTTCGGCTTCAGACATAGACGCCTTGTGAGGCATGTGATCTGCCGGGAAGGAGACGGCGGAGGGAAGGGAGAGAGGAGGATTGAGGAGGCAGGAGGAGGGAGAGGTGAGGTGGGGGGTAAGAGAGCGAGGAGGAAGAGAATGAGGAAGGGATGAGAGTGGAGGGGGGGAGGGAGGGAGGAGGAAGGAGGAGGATAAGGAGGGAGGAGACGGGAGGAAAGAGAGAAGAGGACAGGAGAGGGATGAGTGGAGTGGAGGTGAGGAGGGAGGGAAAGAGGTGGAGAGGAGGGGAGGGAGAGGAGGGAGGGGGGGAGGAAGAGGTGGAGGCAGTGAGATGGAGGGGGGAGGGAGACTGAAGTGAGAGCATGGAGAAGGTGGGTTTTAAAACGTGGCTGTGTTTGTTAGAGCGAAGACCTAAGGTGGGGGTCGGCAGGGACCTGGGGGTGAGCTAGGGGGAAAGGGCCAATTCAGGATGAGCTCGGGTGTAAAGAAGGAGGTCAAGAAAACCAGCTGGAATGAGGGAATTTGATGGGAAGGTAGTTGCAAGAGCTGTCCAAAGTGTGGTGTGTCGTGGGGCAGGGGGGTGCCGTGCGTGGCGTGTGTGTGAGTAGTCAATGTGGGTGAGATGAGACTGATGGAAAGGATAGTGCATAGAGAGAGAAGAGAGAATGATCAGAATAATAAGAGACGAAGCAGAATACTTAGAAGGACATAAAACACAGGGGACATCCCGTACATTGTCAGCGATTGCGTTTTTTTTTTCAGACAAGAACAAAGTGGGAAAATCCTACGTGACAACAGAGATCGTAGATCGCTGATGCTGGTGGCTGCGATCCCGCGCCGAAACACAGGCTGACTCGAGGAGCCAACCGCCAGCCAATGCGTTTCCGAGCAGAGTACGTTCAATACGGTCATAGGCAGCGGTACACCTCATCGAATTCGTCGGAGGATAATTAACAAGGATCACTTCGGTACTTATCTCTCTTTCGGTATCTAGCCTCACGTTCTAGGTTAGTCACATCTGCTCCTGTCTTGGTTATCCAGCCTCTCTTCTGTTATTCACCTGCTCTTCAAGTTATGTCACACGTCTCTTCTGGTTATGCCACCTCTCTTTTCTGGGTTATCCACCATATCTTTCTGGTATAACTTCCCAGCTCTCTTTCTGGTTATGCCATACCTCCTTTCTGTTATTCAGCCCTCTCACCTTTCCAGGCCTCATCCGGCCGCGCCGAACGGGGGCGCGCCGGCCGCGCCCCCCCCGCTCTCTTTCTAGTTATCACCTATCTTTCTGCTTATCTCACCTCTCTTTCAGGTTATCCACGCTACTCATTCTAGTTATCCAGGTCTCTTTCTGTCGTTCGCGCGCGCGCGTATTACCTGCGTGTATATATCGCACGTCTATTTAACGGCGCAGCAGCTTAAGCCGAAAGAAATAGCTCCCGCGTGTACTAAAAGACACACACGTCGATTCAATTCAAAGTCTCCTATCCTCGTTAACAGTTCTTGAGAACAACACATAACACTGTCACTGAGTCATCGGTTTATAAGATACAAACGGTTGATATGTACGCATAACTGTATCAGAACGTAGATAATAGGGAAGTTCGTCTATTATCTACTTTGATGATATGGAACGCCGGAGTAGGAATTTAAACCGTTTACGGTTGGAATTACGGCGAAACAGAATATAGATACCGCGCCGCCGCGGCACTCCCGAAATATAGTATGTTAAACCGCGTTAACGAAGGATGTTTGCTTATTAGTTATAATTTAGAAAAACATCATCGGCAATTAATGCAGGCACGGTGGCGTTTTCTTTTTGCCTCCAGTACCGGAAATGGGCTGAAACTCAGGAATGTGCATGCGGCGGCAATTTTCGAGCCTCTACGCATATGTGCCGTGACAGTCAGTGCCTGATAGTCCTCACAGATGGGCTAGCACCGCAGTGCTGTCAAGTGTAACGGAAGAAAAACATCCAGAAGCTTCTGGAATTCACTGTATCGGTCAGTTGGAGCAACTCCTGAAAGATCTGAGCGATCGAAGCACACTTGCGAGAGAAAGGTCCGATCAAGAAGTTTGAGATCGTGTATCACGCCAGACTCGCTAGCTGTGATAGCTTAGCAAATCATAAAACAGTGAATTTA